CGGGGGCGGCCTGGGCGGGCGCGACCGCCGCGGGCACCCCCCCGGCCCCGGCGCCGTCGGGCTCGTCGCGCTGCGGGAAGTGCGGGGAGTCCTTCCAGGGCGTGGAGAAGCTGGTGTTCCACATGCGGGCGCAGCACTTCGTGTTCATGTGCCCGCGCTGCGGGAAGCAGTTCAACCACAGCAGCAACCTCAACCGGCACATGAACGTGCACCGCGGCGTCAAGTCCCACGGCTGCGGCGTCTGCGGCAAGAGCTTCACCCAGAAGTCCACCCTGCACGACCACCTGAACCTGCACAGCGGGGCCCGGCCCTACCGCTGCTCCTACTGCGACGTGCGCTTCGCCCACAAACCCGCCATCCGCCGCCACCTCAAGGAGCAGCACGGCAAGACCACGGCCCAGAACGTCCTCGAGGCCGTGGCCGCCGAGGGGGGGGTCCTGCTGCGCTGACCCCCCCCGGGGGGGGCCCGGGAAGGGGCCGGGGGGGGAGCGACGGGGAAAGGAAGGAGCCTCCTCCCCCCCGGCCCCCGCGCCGCGCAGAGCCGGGCCCCTCCCTGAGGGGGGGGGGATGGGAACGGGACCGACCCACCCCCCCCGGGACTGCTGGGTCCTTCCCCGGGGCAGGGGGGACCCCCCCGAAGGGGTGGGGAGGGACCCTCGGGTGGCTGGGTTCATTTTGGGACCCCCAGAGGGGTGAGGAGTGAACCCCAAAGTGATGGGGAGCGACCCCTGGACATTGGAGTGAAAGGGGGACCCCAAAAGTGATGGGGGCGACCCCTGGACACCTGGAGCGAATGGGGGACCCCCAAAGTGATGGGGGGACCCCAAAAGCGATGGGGAGTGACCCCTGGACAGCTGGGTTGATTTTGGGACCCCCCCAGGTGATGAGGAGCGAACCCCAAAGTGATGGGGAGCGACCCCTGGACATATGAAGGGGGGACCCCCAAAGGGGTGAGGAGCGACCCCTGGACATTGGAGTGAAAGGGGGACCCCCAAGTGATGGGGGGACCCCAAAAGTGATGGGGAG